TATATATACATATAAATTACATACTCGCTCTGCGATATAAACGGACTATTGTATATAAGAGATTGTACGAGTTCGTTTAAAATATATAAAAAGACGTTTTCTGTTAATTCCCGATATATTATTTTTCCCAGTTTCATACACATTTTCCGACACATTTCTTTAAATACCTTGAGTAAATTTTTATTTTAGATAAATGAATTAATAAAAATAATTTATGTAAAATAAATTCAATAAATTTAAAAAATAAGTTTTATATTTAACAATTCATAGCTGTCCCATTATTTTCTTGATATTTTTAGAAAACTGAAGCTTAGAAAACGAAAATTTATGATCTATAATTTTTTTATCTACCACTGATGGACAATAAAATTCAGATGCATTGCATCTATCGAACTTCAACTGCAGCTATTACATAAAAAAATCTATCTTCACATATATTATGCGAAGATTACATAGCATTAAACGAAGACATTTGACCTTTTGCTTCGAAGGTCGTAGAAATGTTAATCCAGCGCAACTAACATTCCGCCCTTCTGATATCGAGGGGATGAATCTAAATCGATAAAATAGATATCAACTGACTACGCGTTTCACGAAACATTTCTACTTATAATTTATAATGTATACGATGAAAGAATAATTTTACATTTTGTAATGTAAAATTGCTTACATATTTTATTTGTTAAGTTCTCCATATAATTGCGATTATAAAGTAAAGATAATGAATTTTTGATTTGATAAATGAACACTGGAATCGACATTATTTTAATGCGCAAGTATCAAATAAATAATTAAAATTATATTATAATTATTAATTCATCGGGTTAATAAAATAAAAAAAATAAAAAAAAATAAAAAATATACATTATTTTTTCTGATTTTAAAATGAGCAACTTATATAACTTTAAAAAAGTAAGTTATAAATGCCAAATGTTATACACAAATCTGTGCATCTAAAAATACACAAAATTACTTTAAAAATAATTGTTGACAAAAATAAATTATTCTTCAATATTTAATATAAAAAATAAACAGCAACAATTTATAAATCCGAAAAAGAGGATTATCGATCTCTGTTT